CATCTTCAAGGAAGAACAATACTCATATTCAACAAAGGATCTGATAAAGTGCTGAAGCATCTTTGTTGAGTTTGAGTTTTGTGTCTATCATTTTATAGGTTTTCGCATCTTGAAAATTCTCAAGTATACAAGCAAAGACCATCTTGGTGAAGTATTCTCCGGCAAGCACAACAAGGACCTAATTGAGCTGCAAGAGTCAGAGTGTGTCTTAGGAGTTATACTTTCGTGCTTATATTGTAAGTTTGTTCCTAATCTATAAAGGAATTAGATCTTTGTTCAGTTCGCACAAAAATTCTAAATCAGTTAAGGTTGATTGATTTAGTGGGCAACATTGTTGTTGCTTAGTCAAAGTCTAATTCGTCCGAGGGTGGTGGTTTAGTGGGCAACCTGTGTGTTGCTTAGTTGAAGTCTAAGTTGTCTAGTGGTGATAGCTTAGTGGGCAGTGTGGTATCTGCTTAGGCTCTTCAAGTAATAGAGTTATTACTTGGTTGTGAGATCAATAACTTCTTCTCACATTGGTTGTAATTGTGGTTCACTTTTGCTTAAAGAAGATTAGTGAAACAATTGAGAATCCTGTGAGACAGGTCGTGGTTTTACTCCATTGAGCAAGGAGGTTTCCACGTAAACTGCTTGTGTTGTGTTCTTTAGTGGGCAACATTGTTGTTGCTTAGTCAAAGTCTAATTCGTCCGAGGGTGGTGGTTTAGTGGGCAACCTGTGTGTTGCTTAGTTGAAGTCTAAGTTGTCTAGTGGTGATAGCTTAGTGGGCAGTGTGGTATCTGCTTAGGCTCTTCAAGTAATAGAGTTATTACTTGGTTGTGAGATCAATAACTTCTTCTCACATTGGTTGTAATTGTGGTTCACTTTTGCTTAAAGAAGATTAGTGAAACAATTGAGAATCCTGTGAGACAGGTCGTGGTTTTACTCCCTTGAGTAAGGAGGTTTCCACGTAAACTGCTTGTATTGTGTTCTCCTTATCATTTACTCTTCTGCACTGTTCTTGCTGTGTCAAGGGACCTGGTCCGTTGACGGATAGTGTACGCACACATTCTATCAATATCAAAACTAAATAACACTACAAATAATATGATTCGAGAGAGCCTCCCTACTTCCAAACAATATTTAAGTCCATTGACTTGTTTAGTACTATTGATTAAATTCATGTATCTAGAGGTTTTCCTCTGGTCGTAATGCATATCAATTGTACCTAGTCATCAATTTATTTATTTTTCATAATGTGGAATTTATTTATTTTTCATAATGTGGGTCTTTAACACATGGCTTGCTAAACATGACAAAGTCAATATATTGTACAATTCCAAATCACTGCCAGCACAGGCTCATGCAGAATGAGGAAAACAAGGTACAGAACTAAGGAGTTTTAATTATAATATAACACTGATGTCTGATATAAGAAAAAAAATTCGTATCATCATGTGCAGATGTGCTCTGCTCTAAAATATTTTTAAATTTTATGTGAGACGTATTTAATTAATTACAATTTGAGACGAAGACTTGTGGTCTTAGCTCATTTTTTTAATAAAAAAGAATGAAAATAGAGCACTCAAACAGGAAACAAAAAAGTCAAAACGTGTATTCACACCGTTACACACGATTACTCGTATATTTATCGTTTTTAAAGCAAGAAATAGAAATATATACCGTTAGTACTTTTAGTATATATTATAACATATAGTACATATGTGTTTATTACATATATAGTATGTGAGTTAGACAACAAAAAATTTCATCCCTTACATTACTATAGTGTATATTATATGACTTGTTAACTAAGCGTTTTTACATGACATTGTGAATTTGTCCCCACTCAGCCCCTAATTTTGACACCATTACGCAAGTTATGAACGTTTTTCCAAAGGAAATATAAGAGCATGAAACTCGAGGGGCCTATTCTGTCGTTACTATTACAAGTATGAGCACTCAAAATGATTTTGAATATCTAGTAAGTCGACAAAAGATGGTTCGTTAATGGAAAAAGACCGCTCAATATATATTCTTATAATCTTATACAATGACTTAAGCTAGTGTAAAATTAGATCTTAAACCTAATTCAAGTTTTACAAGCTAGTTCAAAGGATAGAGGATTGTCTAAGATTTATAAGAAGACCACTCATCTCATTAATAATTTTCATTCTTTAACACCCACCTCAAAACATTTGATGCGTGGACAACTTTAATTTGGGGATCTAACATCGAGTGAGATAGATACCATGTAAAATTAGGTTCTAGCTAGGTCTAACTCATACCCCAAACACTAGCTCAAATAAGAGAATTGTTCAAATCTGACCACTCATTTCTTTAACCACCAATGTGGACTTTTTCATTCTTTAACATCTAGTTGGTCAAGTCTATGAGATGAATAAATATGAGAGAAGTAGAACCATATACGTAAGTCAAGTCTATCTTCGTAAGAGACATAATTATTAAGCTTATCAACTAAGAATTAAGTGGAGGAATTAAAGTTTGTTGTCGATTCTTCTTTTTATTATAAGTGTATATGTAAAAAGGATAATTAAGAACCCTTCTTCTACGCATCAATTAATTTGGGTGAATGAATGCGCCTTGTTGACTTGGTTCATATTTCAAGTCTCTAATGGCTCACTTCTACTTAACTATTGCCTTAAAGAAAATAATTGGCATGCATGAAATTAAAAAGATCAATCATAGTATTCAAAGTCCAAAGAACTAGATCTGATTCTAGTCTAGTATATATGTGTAATATTGTTTTCATGCCGGAGAGTTCTTAATCATATTTATGTTACGAAAGAGTTCTAAAGAAAAGAAAACATAGATCTTGAATGGAAATTAGTCAAGTGCAACTACTTTAGGCTAAATGGTGCACTTAAATTTATATAATTAATTACGTGTATATAGAATTAATCAGATCGTCTGAAGTATGAACAAATGTATATAATTGCGTAGTACATAAATATATATTGACATGGAGGAGTAAGTGAAAGGAAGAAATTAGACTTACAACATCACCAGAGGAAACTCCAAGTTGAGAAAGAGCAGATGCAAGGTTGATACATCTTCCATGTAATTCTTCCCATGAATAGCTTATGTTTCCATAAATTAAGGCTATGTTTTTGCGGTAAACGAATGCAGCACGTTCCAAAAAACTGAGAGGTGTCAATGGTACGTGGTTTCCAGGGCAAACTACCAATCCCTCCATCTTTTCCTCAACAACTCACTCCATATGGACATGCTATATATAACATCTTAAAAGTATAACTCATTAAATTTAAATTCTGACTTCGCCTAGTGGTGAATTCGGAATTTCACTTAAGGGTTCGAAAAATAAAAATATATTGCATGGAGTTTGAATTTGGAATCCCAAGTTAAATTTTGAACTCTTTTAATCACTGAGTCAACCTCTAATCTTGTGTTTAGAGATTTCAAAATCTATTTATAATAAGTAAGAAAAAATGACCTTGGATATGTAGTGTAATCTTTTGCTAAAGAGGTTCAGGTGAATAACCCTCAAAAGCGCAGCCATAATTTTAATCTTAGAGATTTTGAATTTTATAAGTATTAATAAGTGAGTTTTAAATTTAATATTCGTACATATTTAATAATCTTCTTAATATAAATATACTATTTGAATATTTTTTTACTAGGTTCAATCAAATTCGTATTCAAGCTTCTAACTCTGCCTCTAAACTAAAGATACCACTCATTTCATTAACAAATGTGAGACTTGTTCACTCGTCGACACGTTTGTGATAACGTTGCAAGAGACAGTAATTCGACAACCCAATATTTTCTTTTTGAAACTTTATTGCCATACTACTTTAGTATTATTTAATTTATATTTACAACATTAACAGTAAAATTTTGTGCGCATGATGATGTGGAAATAATATAATTCATTTTAAATTCGTGGAGAGCGCATTTTGACGTGGCATAAATGAATCAGACATTTTAAGGAATGTTATTTAATTAAAAGAAAATAAAGCTTTAAAGTTTGGCTAATTAATAGAAAATGACTTCATCGTCATTCGTCATTCGTCAAGCTGAATGCTAATTGCTTGCTTACTTCTGTCATTATCAATAATACAAACTTTTCCTTAAGCTAATTGCTTTGCTTAGTTCCGTAATCATCAATAATACTATATACATATGCTAAACCGAGTTATAATCCACTCTCGATATGGCTGTACATGTGAGTGCTACTTAATTTAGTCTTCTTTAATTCACCAACTCTGTTAATATATAGTTATATACAACATGTACATTTTAAAAGGACTTTTTTTTATACTCTTATTTGTCAAGTTTTATGTGCAGCACTTTTCACTTCTTGACATTTAAATTAATTGTTTAATATTTTGAAATGTACTTTTTTTCATCATATTAATTACATTTAAAAATTGTAACTTATAAGTGTTTTATGTTTAGTTTTTAAATATCTGAATTTAGTTTTAAATATTGAGTTGATTTAGTTCGGAAATCTTAGAGGGGCATTTGGCTATGAATTTGTTTTTTTACTTTTTGCTGGAGTTGAATTCCAAAAAACACTTTTGACAAATTGAATTTTGGAATTTGAAAAACACCAAAAAGGGTTTTCACCTTTTTTTACTCAATTACTCATAGACAACTTCAATTTGTATTCATGGCCAAACACAATTTCAATTTTCAAATACCAATTTTCATTTTGAAAATAAAAATTATTTATTTGTTCAAATACTCACAATTTTCATGTCCAAACGCCCCCCGCCAAATTGACCGTCAATAAGTGAAAAGTATTACGTGAATTGAGACGGAAGGAATAAGTATTTATAAAACATTTTTATTCCCTAATTTGATTGTATGGAAATAAATTCATTTTCAAAATGGTGTCCTTATTGATTTAGCCTAATGGTGCATTCATTGAGATAAAGGTATATCACATTTTTAGCAAGCTCTTTATAAAATACTTTTGGCATAATACATAAATTGGATCCTAAACTTGGCTTCGAATTTTAAGTATGACCTCTAGCTTTCAAAGTGCACAAGTAGGCACTTCAACTATCCAATTCTTAAACAAAAAAAACACGCGAATCCAACCTGGCATAACGCGTGATTGAGATGCAATTCAGGCGCGTCAGGGGTATTTTTCGAGGTCCACAACAGTAAAAAAAAAAAAGCGGAAATGACAATTTTACTCTTAATGAATCCCTTTTAAATATATCTTTATTTTTTCAAATCAAAAATCCCCAATTTTTCTTCTTCTTCTTCTTCCTAATTCTAGTACTCAAGCTTTTTTCTCTTTTTGTGCACAATTTTTGGTAGTTTTTTATGTAATGGCTTCTAATTTTTTTGGTCATTGTGTATAAAGAGCTATAATGAAGATTTCTTGGTCTGCAAATAATTCATAAAAAAAAGTGAATTTACATTCATGGTGATAGCTTCTACCAAAAATAAACTTTCAAAAAGCAAAAATTAACATAACCAGACTAAATTGAGGAAGAACAACACATAAACATCCAAAAGATAAGAACTTTGACCACAAATCTTCACAATTTTACTTTGATTTGCAAAGAAATTAGGGCTAGGGCTCCGCTGATGTTGAGTGAAAATCGAGCAAATTGGGAAAAGAAAATACGACCCTACCCTTTTGTATTTTAATTTCTTCTTTTTTTTAAGAAAAGGCAAAGAAAATATGACCCTATCCTTTTGTATTTTAATTTCTTTTTTTTTTTAATTATAAAATACGTGTAATTTTTTAATTACGTGGCAGCCACTGAGTGGCTCAATAAGCCACGTAGGAGCGTTTGTATATCACACAATTTGGCTCTTGGATTCGCGTGTTTTTTTGTTTAAGGATTGGATAGTTAAAGTGCCTACTTGTGCACTATGAAAGTTAGAGGTCATACTTAAAATTTGAAGCCAAGTTTAGGGTCCAATTTATGTTTTATGCCAATACTTTTCTTGCTAAAAACAGTCATATCTCAAATTTACCATATCAAATTTTAGTTGGGAGACTACCTAATAATTTTTTATGACTACTTGTAATTATTGAAAAGTAGCAAGGGATTAAGAACATTATGTTCAGGAGATATAATTAATAAGGGCCATGTTGACTAAAATCACAAAACTTATAAATTTATATGAAAAGCAATATTTCTCGATTTCTCTAATGTTGGGCTGGCCATTAAAGTTGGGTTAAAACTTGGATCATAATTGGGCTAATACTTTAGAAGAGTTTGATTAGTGGGACATTTCCTGGCCCAATTAACACCCCTAAATATGGGGAAACTAAGTAAATACCCTATAAAAGCAAAATAATTACAAACATATACTCATTTACATTCATATCCCATTACATAATTACACAATATACCCCCAACCAATTTCGCTTAAGTGATACTAAATCAATATCGTATACTGCATTGGTATCATTAAGGCTGATATATATATATATATATGGTATCATTAAAGTTTCTTGTTCAGAAATCATAGTATCATTAGTCAATGATACTATGAGAGTTAGTATCATTGACTAATGAGTAATTTTTGAACAAGAAACCTTAATGATATCATAAAATATATAAACTCTTATAGTATCATTGACTAATGAGTAATTTCTGAATAAGAAATCTTAATAATACCACAACAATATATATGTTTTTATAGTTCTTCCGTATTTTAAATAAGATTATTTTTGTTTGTATTTTGTTTTCATATTAGAGCGTGACTAAGTCATGTATGATTTTACCGTACGATGATATTGTCAAGTAGTAATTACTTTTGTGCGCAATATGTACGTAGACAGCAAGTGAACATTTAGTTGAGCATGAAATTAAGGTTGTAGGGAATAATCGAATGAGTAAAGAATACTTCTATCCATCAATATCAATAAAATGTAATTTAGGCCAAAACAACGACCAACTATGTATTTATTACATAAATAAATAAATAAATAAATAAATAAAAGGACGATTTGTACATAGAATAGAGTGGAGATAGACTACGGGCCCGTTTGGCCATAGATTTCCCAAGTAAAACTTGGGAAAAAATTTGGCAAATATTGTTTGTCCATACACTTTCTCATTATTTGGCAAATTTTTTTGGCAAATAACCCAAAT